AGAATGAAACCAAGCGAAAAAGCGAAAAAGCGTTGAAGCAAAAAAGTTGCTGGTTTTTATTAGCATTTATTAACTAATAGAAATTTTTTTAATAAAAACGAATTAATATATATTTTAATATACTTAAAGAAGTAAAATTAATTATATAAAATTGTTGATAAAATAATAACTTAAATTATTTATAATAAGTGAATTTAGTGCATCGTTTAAAAACAAAGATAAAAACCAAGCTATTTTGTTAAAAAAAAAATTCTCTTTAACGTCTTTTCCCTTTTTTAACTTTTTGCTATAACGACCTTTTAAAATATTATTGGCTTCCATGCAGAGATTTAAAGCAATTTAAAATCTAAAGTTTACATTGAATGAAAATCTCAGCGTGAAAGTGATTATCCTATTTGAAAAATAAATTTAGCGTGACGTACTTTATAGCAAAAATATTACTTTTAAGAATTACCAAAAAAAATACTGAATTAAGAAAAAAGTAAATAAACAAAAAAAAATTAGCATTATAGCATACTGATGTGATTGAATGGCTTGGAATCAGCAAAGATGTTGTAAAACTTTTTTACTGTGATGATGAGTATTCAAGGCAAATGCCAGGCAAAAAAGACTGTTAGTATTGGAAAAAAATACTTGTTAAAAAATTTGATTTTGTGTAACATAAATGAGCTCTATCCAGCATATAAAATAAAATACCCAGATCATAAAATTTGATTTTCCATTTTTGCAATCTTTGGCCTAAACAGTGCATCATTGCTGGTCCAAAAGGTACACATTCAGTTTGTGTTTGTACAACACACCAAAATTAACATTAAATTGATGTACATGCATTAGTTAAGTAGTGGTAGAGCGCTCACTTCATAAGCAAGAGGTTTTGAGTTCGATCCCCACCACATACCTGGTAATACTGCGCTCTTTCTTGTTTCTCTGCGCAGTGGTCTCGTTTGTCAAGGTTTGTGTTAGGGAGTTATAGAGTTGAAAGAGGGTTATAACCACAATTTAGTAGCCTCCTTATCTGTAGTGGGCTTCTTGGTTTTGGGGAGGTGAATTAACAATAAAAAAAAGTCCTGTAGACCTTGAAACATCTTACCATGAAATCATTGAAATGGTTATCTGCAGCAGAAAATCAAAAGTTTACATAATTCAGCTATGCAATAATTGTCTTGGCATACAAGGCCAAAATTTTTTACAACAACACCTAATACAAAATCTTTTACAACAAAACCTAATACAAAATGATGATTTAGAAGAGAAATATGACATTGATAAAAATAAACAGTCTGTGAATTTCAAACAGTGGACAACAGATAGAACTGAACTATTAACAATAAAACTTTTATCAAATGAATTCATAGAGCTCCTGTGTGAATAAAAATTGATAAAATTACTTTTCATTCATTTATATCAAAATCACAATGTATCTATCTAATGCATCACAAAGAAACAATTAGCATTGATGAGGTAATTGTTCTGGCAGATTTTGTAGAGAATTACACTTTTGTAATACAAGAGATTCTCTTCATTCAGTTGTCATCTATTTCAAGAAAATGAAATTAGAAACATTTTTGCGTAATCTCAGATTACTTGAATCATATACAAATATGCATTAAGACATTTAATAAGATATGCATTAAAGCCATCAATCATGTAAAAACTTATTTTTGTCGCACAATTACAAAAGTTCATTATTTTTCTGATTTTTACAATTTATGTCACCAAGTTAATGATTTTTCTGTTCGTTGCATATGGAATTTTTTTGCATTGATTTCACTCTATTATTTGATTTAAACAAAATCAATAAACAAAAATCATTAGGATGACTAAGTTATGATGTCCTTAATAAACTTTACAATTTTTCATGTTTCATTAATAGGCTTGTTAAAATTTAAAGAAAATCTAAAGAGTGACTGGAATGACCATCCCCATTTTACATAAAATTACCTGGGAAACAATTGCTGAAAAATGATTGAATAATTAAAGTTATTTTTAAAAACTCATTTTTACCCATAAATATGTAATGTATATATAAAATTTTTATTCTGATTCACTCCCAACAAGGCTGCAAGCAACCACTATTAAGTTTAGAGTCACTAGAAAAAAAGAACAGAGTTATAGAGCAAGGAAACAGTTGACAGAAGACTTAAAAAGTTGAAGGTTGAATGAGTCAGGAAAACATAAAGATGGAGTTCCAAAAGATTGAAGTTCAGGGAAAAAAACTAGATGAATAAAAGTTTTTGGAGCATGAAGGGACAGATAAAGTAAAAGAATGAGACTTTGATGAATGACGAGTCAAGCGAGAATGAGTTTTAGTTGATGGAACTAGAGATGATAGCTCCTTTGAGAAGCAACCATAATAGTATTTTTAGAAAAGGGAAAGAGAAGCAACTTTACGATGATGGGAAAGAGGCTCAAGCTTTGCAGATAGAGTGGGTGCAACTACATTTACAATACGTTTTTGAACCTTGTCTAGAAAAGAAAGAGCATCATTAGAAGAACCCGCCCAAATATGACAACAGTATTTCATACAGAAAACCGTATTGATTATCTGACACCAAGTTATTTGACTCAAGATGGATGTGAGAAATTTGTTGATCAAAGACTCAAAGACCTTGCTAATAATAGAAAGAAGACTGATTGGACGATAATTAGAAGGGCCAGAATGTTCCTCTGTATTAAATAGTTTAGAGAAATTTATTATATACTTATTATATAGCACTTGTTAAATAGTTTAGAGAAAATTGAAGAGAGTTCTGGAGAACAATTTTGTAAGACTATAAGGAATGTTGTTCGAACTGTAAGGAATGTTATTGCCATTAAATAGTTTAGAGAAAATTGAAGAGAGTTCCAGAGAACAATTTTGTAAGACTGTAAGGAATGTTGTTTGAACCACAAGCCAAAGAAGAGTTTAATCGAGATATGACTTTAGCAATGGAAGCTGGAGTAATTTGAATGTCTAACAATGGAGTAACTTATTTAATTGGAATGGAAGGAAGAGAATGACCATAAGATTCGAGAGTCAAATTAGAAGAAATTTCTTTACAAACTAAGCCTTGTTCTTGGGAGAGGTAATAAGGTCAGTCCCGTGAATGAGAGATGGAATGTTAGACCTTCCTTTGTTAACAACACTGTTGAAGATTTTCCAAAAGTTTCTAGAGCCTAACTTCTGAGATAAGATACGAAATTTAGTGAACTAAGAATAATGGAGCTTAGCATCTGACAGCACCTTTTTACATCAATTTCTTGCAATAATAAATAGCTGTTTGTTCTTAAGAGAGTTGTTCTTTTGAAAAAGATGGAAAAAATGATTACAATTAGATATAACAGCTGCATAAGAGGGTGAAAACCATGGAGTAGAATAAAGGCTTAACTAAAGAGAAGGAATAAAAGCATCCATTCCTGCCTGATACCAGAAGATTATGGAGGTGCATCTATCAGCTGAGAGGAAAAAGACATCAGCCCAAGGACTGTTATGAAGAAAATCATGAAAAGAGTCCCAGTCAGCTTTAGGATAGTAGTGCAATGATAGGGTGAGTCCAAAAATGAAGTACAAGATGAAAGATTTGAAGAGATCATTGCATGCTCAGAACCACCTAAAGGAGAAAAAGGAGAAGCTGAACACAAGCTAGAATCAGAGACCAGACATAAATCAAGGAGTGAAGGTAAATGATTAGGGTTGTCAGGAAAACGAGTCATAAAGTTAACTATCTGAGTAAGAGATTAAGAAATGCAGAAGTTATAGGCTTTAGTGCCAGCAGGGTCAGTGACATTAGAGCCACACCACTCAGTGTGATGAGCATTAAAGTCACCAATAACAACAATATTGGCAGAGGGGTAAAGCGAGAAAACATGGTCAATTTGATCATATATTATATCTAAAAGAGTGCAGTCTTGGGGAGAAGGAGAACAAAAAAGATCAAAGAAAAGGTGATAGAGTGAAGAGGTGCTAAGCGGAAGCACATAAAGAAATGGTCAAAGGATTTGAATCTGATTTCACAACAAATAGGTGAAATGATGCGCATGTATACCCTAAGCCAAGCATATGACTATTGGAGTCAAACATGTGACTATTGCGAATCAAAGGATAGTGCCCATCAACACTGAGATCAGAAAAGGAAGAGCAGAATTTAAATTAGTCTCACTAAGAGCAAGCAAGTCTGGTGAATTTTGTGAGAAGTAAAATTTAACTGATGGAAGGTTGCTTCGCAGACCACGAATATTAATGAAAAGTTTTATTAAAACAGTGAGGTGGTGGGGATGGTTGTTTATGTTTAACATTTTGATTTACTTTTGGTATAATTTAAGTTTAAAGAGAACTTGACTCATTCATAGATAGAGTACGGCCTCCCAAGCAATGAGCTATGCAATCTTATCAGTCCTGTTAATTAACCCTAATTAATCTGTAAATTAAATTAAGTTAATTAAGTCATAATATAGGACTTCTTATGTGGCCTTGACAATGCGAACCAAAAGCATTAACAGGGACACTATCCATGCGCAACATGGCAATGTTAATACTCTGATATTTTGCAGCTGTTGATGGAATCAGCCTCTCTGAGAGTTTGGGAAACCTTACTACCAGCTGGCCTCAGAACCATTAAACTGAGTTTTAGAGCTGTACCTACCTGTATCATTAGGTTGCATAGCCACTATCAGGAGGCACAAGCAAAAACCTATGAGAAAAGTCAAGAAGATCCAGCATTCATCATCCTAGGCAGGAAACAATCTAACACAGGTTTACATCTACGTCAGCCTAATAGAAGAAGGGGTTCAAGAGGTTCAAAAAAAAACAGCTAATGAGAGTGTTATACAAATCATGTGACATATAAAAACAAAAAATATTTTTTGAAAAAAAAAGATGGCTTAAAGAAATATAATTGAAAGGAAAAAAATCTGACACTTAATTCGAACCTGATAAACTACTATTGTACAGGAACAATATCGAAGATCACAATTTCTTAAAACTTCCGAGGGAAAAAAAAACGCTTTAATAAAAATCTCACCTCTGGTGATTCCTTTGCTCCATGTAAAAGCTCCTTAAAATATAGACAATAAAGGTAAGTAGAAACTCATTACTATTTAAAAACAAAAAATTGCATAAAAAAATTAAATTTAATAAAAAGTAAAGAAAAAAAACCTGGAGCATTTTAAATCTAACTTCACTTTTTTCTTCAGCTAATAGAACATCAACATCAACTTCTACATTATAGTCATCATCTTCACTCTAAAACACCCCAAAAAATAGTCTGATAAGACTCAAAAAAAGAAATTCACAATGGAATTTGAAACAAAATTAAAAAAAACTTTAAAACTTTAATAATAACTTTAATAAGTTTCTATAAAACTTTAGACTATACAATATTTATAATTAATTGTATTTGTGTATTTTAACTTTTGAAGCATTCAAAATTGCAACTGCTAAATATTGCAAATACAAGAGTTAATATACTCCTGTTTTACATTCAAATTTTACTTTAAGATATTTCTTAAAAGCACAACCTAAAAAACCTTTTTTCAATTTTTTTTTTTTTACAAATCCGCTATCAACAAGGCTACCAGCAACCACAATTTAAGTTGATTGTTAACAGAAAGCAAAGAAAAGAATTAAAGAGCAAGATAACAGTTGAAGACAGTAAATTGATTCAAGAAAGAATTACAATGTAAGAAATTCCCAAAGCAATGAGGTTTGACAGTAAAAACTAGAATAAAAAATGTTTTTTAAACACAACAGAATAGTTACAGTAAAAGAATAAAATTTTATTAAATGACAAGTTATGGAAGATTGAGTTTTGGTTAACTGAACAAAAGATGATTAATGACAATGTAACAGAGGAGATTTTTTATAGTTGACTATAAAAAAATCGTAAAAGTACATTCAGAGATTGTTTACGTCCCCACATAACACACCTAAATTATTGCTCATATACAGGGAATAATTTGCAATGATAGATGTGCTGGAAATCTATTTGCAATAATAATATTTTCAATGATATAATTTTGTTGAATAAAGCCTAAAGTTATGAATGATCACATCTGTCTTCATTCATGATAAAGGCTTGTCTTGGAAAACCTTTGTAGTGTTTTTGAAAACCTTTTTTAGTGATATCGGACTTGGCTATGACTTAGCTACTAAAATTGAACTGATTACTCTTAAACAGTTAACCTTTACACTGAATTAGATACATATACTCTTCCAAGAATAGATGATAAAAGAACTTGCAAAATACAAAGTATTTTCTACCTTTGACTTGAAAAATGCTTACCACCTAATTCCTGTAAACGATTCAAACAAAAGATATACATCATTTGAGGCTAATGGTAAATTGTTCCAATTTTGCAGGATTCCATTTGAAGTAACTAATGGTGTGTCTATGTTCCAAAGATTTATTGACAAATTTGTTGAAAAAGAAAAGTTACATGACACTTTTCCATACCTTGACATTATAACCATTGGTGACTATGATCAGGCACATGGTGAAAATTACTTATAGTTTCATGATGTTTTACAACAATGGGGCCTAATGTTAAATGAATTAAAATCTGTTATTTCAGTTTCTTGGATAAATATTTATGGTTATTGGATTGGTCATAGCAATATAAAACCAGATGCTGAATGATTATGTCCTTTAAATTTACTACCTCCAGTTGACATTTTATCACTTCACCAAGGATTTCTTCTTTTACTAATAAAGTTTGATCTTTAATTAATGTTAAATCATTTCAAATCAATAGTGAAGCATTTGAAACATTTCAATTAATTAAACAAAAACTTCACACTGATGCTTTGAGTACTATCAATGAGAGCTTATCTTTTGTTGTTAAATGTGATGCATCAGAGGTAGCAGTATCAGCTACTTTGAATTAAAGTCAGGAGTGAAATTAACTATCTAGCAGTATAAATAGAAGTTGTGGTGATTATTGATGCTGTTCAGAAAAGGCAACATTTATCATGATGAAATCAATTCCAGGTAAATACTGATCAATGTTCTGTAGCTTTCATGTTTGACAACCAAAAGAAAAGAAAGATTAAAAATAGTGAGATTCAGTGCTGGAGGATGGAGTTAGCAGAATTTAGTAACACTATAACATATCATCCTGGAAGCGATAAGATTGTTCCTGATGCATTAACATGTGCTTTTTGTGCAAATTTCTTCGGTGCTCATCTTGTGAAACTTCATCACCCTCATAGTTAACTCCTGGTGCCATTTTTCTCAGACATTTGTACCAACAAAAAAAACAATCTTGTTGATAAAGTTGAATTAGTGTACACACTAATTACAAAATACAAAATATACAATTCAAAATATACAATATAGGTGAATCCAACATATGTTAATAATTGTTACCCGTATGGACGAGATTGAACTGTTTCACTTTATTCTCATTGATAAAATGTATATATATATATATATATATATATATATATATATATATATATATATATATATAATATATATATATATATATATATATATATATATATATGTATGTATATATATATATATATATATATATATATATATATATATATATATATATATATATATATATATATATATATATATATATATATATATATATATATATATGTATGTATATTAGGGTGGTTCAAATTTAGGTCAAAAATTTTTTACAACTAGAGTGGAAGTTTATAAGGTACACAGACCCTTGTTTTATATATAGGATTTTTTTTTTTTTGAAGTTTAAGGGTGGCACACAGCCCAAAAGGACTTTTTTTTAAACCCTTTTTTGACGTTTTTCGACCCGCGTGTGCCACCCTTAAACATTCAAATTATTTTTTTTTACATATTCTTGCAAGGACCTATATAAAAAAAAAAAGGAACTCTATTTGTATTTTTTTTTTCAACACTGAAAAACTTACAGAAAAGTCGCTAAATATTAACAAACAAACAATTTTCTTTATTTCAATGATCACGGTAGCTTTCGTTGCTGATTGTGATAAATAACATGTAGACATGGAAAAAACTTCAAAACTACGTATACCTATACTTATATCAAATTGTGATGCTTTGAAAAAAGTGATTGGAGCCTGAGATCTAGAAAAACCGTAAAACTTAGTCCCCCCCCCTACCCTAAAGGTGACGACAATAAGTTGCCCAAATTTATACTATTGTTATTCTGAACTAAATTTACATTTATCGACAGATTTCAAACTTCATTTAATAATATTGTAGCATTCAAAAGTTATGACATGTAAAGTTGCCATCCTCCCCAAAAAGAGGGGGTTAAAAGCTCAGCATATAGTTCTATGGTATTTTTATTACAAAATCTAGTTTAATGTATTACATAATTTTTGATGTTAGTTTAAACTTAGAGATTAATCTAGATGAAGTTGGATTACCACTCCCCTTTCAAAGTTTTTGAAAAATAACAATTGAATAAATTTACCAAGCATTTTTGATATATTTGATAACTTATTAACTAGAATAAAAATTATTTGAAATTTGTTTGACATAAATCTCTTAAATTAGACATTCGTCAATAAATTAAGATACGCAAGTCAACGTTCATTAAAAAAAAATGCTACGTCATGCCCTGGGATAAAAATTAACAAATGCAACTGTTTCAAGATTATTATAATTCTTTTTTTTAGTAAATAATTTCTTTATTAGAAATTATACTTCCATGATAAAACGGTATACATGATAAAAAATTATTTTTTGATAGCTTCTGTACCTATTTTGCCTTAAACTCTAATCTGAATATTTTTTTCAACAATTGCTTTTATTAAGTTGCATTAAAGTACTCAGGAAATTTTGTGGCAGTTTAATTGTAATTATGGAATCAATTAAATTAAAAATTGCATTCACATATGCTTTGTTTTTTTTAGCGCATTTTTTAAACGAGTTATTTATCAAAACTTGCAAAGAGCCGTGGTTAAGTTGTTAAAACAAAGAACTATATGCGTGGTCATATAAGGCGTGCAATCGCACACCTCTTATGAGAAGGCCTGCTTTATTGACCATAACACATTCAAGTGGATACACTATTGGTTTGATGGGAAGAAACCATTTGAGTGTAAAAGATACCGACAAACATAGCCATTTCACGAATCTCTTCTTTATTTTCTTCTGATAAACTTGGAATAGCTTCCAATAGTAAATACATTTTAAGATAATACAACGCTTTTGACATAAATCTTGCATGATGTATTGGACCAGGAATACAAAATTTGAACCTATCTTTTTGAGAAACTACCATCAAAGATAGTTCCGCTAATTCTTGATAATCCTTTCTTGATTTACCATCCTAAAAATAAAGGATTTTTTATATTTATGATTATGATTTATTTTATTATGATTGTGTATACAGATTGTTTAAATTAATTTAAGCAAGCTACTACAAAACTCTAATCAACCTTTTTGTAGACCCTATTATCTATTACATCTCTGTAGAATATTTCAGCCTCAAGATGTTGTTTATTTATCCAAGTTGTATTTGGAGTTTCAATCCTCTTCAATGTAACAATGTCTTTTTCAAGATCATTCCAGACAGATTTCAGGTGTTTAAAGAGCTGGTTTTCTGGACCAGACAATTTACTACTGGGATATATCTTGTTAAAGTGGGTAATATGTCTTTCCAATATATGATGTCTACAGGCAAGGAAAAGTAGTGGCCTTCTCAGCTTATCGGCCATTCTTGTTATTACTCCTTGGTGCTTTCCAGTGTTAGAAGCTGTAGTATCAAAGCATATACACTGTATATGATGACTAAGACCAAAAGAATCTAATAGATTATAAACTGGTTTGAACTGATTTTCCCCAAAACCTGACTCAATATGAGAAATACCTAGGAGCTCAGTTTTCCCATTCACTTTCACTAGTACTGCTACTCTTTCTCTTGTAACTAAAACTTTATCTGTATATTCTTTAAATATTTTCCCGTCAAAGTGAACAGAAATCAACTTATATTTGGAGTCAGTCAAGTATTTTATATATTGTCTAATTTTCTGAGCTTCCGAATTTATTACTTTATCTACAGCTCGAAGAGATGATGATTTAGACACAACAAATTTATTTATTTCTCCTCCTGAAATAGCTATAACACTGCTTATGATAATAATATGCTGATTGATAGAAAGACCTCCTACAGCAGTTAGCGTTGTACATTTTAAAACATCTTAGGCAGTAACAAACTTTGTTCTTCTTCATGAGGATCGTCATTTGACTCACTTATAACAGACTCGAGGCATTCTGAGCTTAAAGAAAAATCACTAAAATCACCTTCTGAGCTATAAGTTGTATCTAAATCCCTTATTTTTTCTGATGATTCCCTTTAAATTTTTTTTTTTTCAGATCTTTTGGCAGACTATTTGAAGCAGGTATCAGAAATGCCTAGACAACCTTGTCTTTTTTCCTTCTGCATTTTCAAGAACATAATGTCCATGCATTTACTTTCTTCAGCTCTTTTTCTATCCATTTTTATTTCATCAATCATGATTTGTATGTCATGCCCTAACCAGAATACCCTTTTAGATTCTATTAAGAAGTTCTCTCTATCTTTTATTGCTCCTGGTGTTGATCTGTTTCTTAGCGATTGCAGCTTTTTATATTTCATTACTACAGCCTCAACTTCTTTCCTAAAAATAAGACATTAAATAACTGTAAATCTAATTTAGATTAAGATTTCATAAATATTACTAACCATAAAATGCATTGTATGTCACAAGTTCTGTATCCACCAAGTTCCCATAAAACCTTCAGCTTAGATATAACACAGCAGTTCCCTCCCAAATCTGGACAATTTGGTGTAAATGTAGAACCTTTGTTTGGACAACAAACTAAGCTTTTGAGAGAAGTTGATGATTTGGGCTCACGTAAGTAAAGATAATACCGTATAACTTCTTCTACAGTAGCAAATTAAATAGATGATAGAGTCTTTCTAGTTTTTTTAACTAAGAATATTTCTTGGCCTCTATTTTTCATTTTTTTAAGAATTTTTGGCATAATTTTTTATTTTACTTTTTATTTCATGTAAATAAATTATAATAAAATTGATTTTCATTTTAAAATAAACACTTTACCAACGTTAATAAATTTTGTTTAATGTTATTAAAATAGTAGATGTTGAACATTGAGTATGATTATTACATTTGAACAATGAGATCATACCGCTGTCATTGAAATAGTTGCGTGTATAGAAATAATAAAAAAATTCATTAGATTTGAAAAAAAAATTGTTCTTAGGTATTTTTAAAAGACATTTTTTGAGTTTTCAAAAAATAAATTGAGTTACAGTGCCTTTTTATTTTTTTGTATAGGTGCTTCCAAGAAAATGTAAAAAAAAATAATTTGAATTTAATAATGTTTAAACTTTAAATTATTTTTACCCTTAAACTTCAAAAAAAAAAAAATCCTATCTATAAAACAAGGGTCTGTGCACCTTATAAACTTCCACTCTAGTCGTAAAAATTTTTTGACCTAAATTTGAACCACCCTAATGTATATATATATATACAGGAGCTATTCTAGACCGTTTTTGGCAGCGTCGACCGTATTGGGCGCCGATTTGGGCACCGCCCAAATTATAGAATGAGGACCTTTTTTTATGTTTTTTTACGGTAAATATATATTTTTTTTTCGTGAAAAAACGCCAATATTCGGCATCATTTTCTCCGGGACTGGGGTACCGCCACCCAATTTATTTTCCTAGAATAGCCCCTGATATATATATATATATATATATATATATATATATATATACACATATATATAATATTATATTATCAATGAGAATAACACTAGGGAATCTAACAAAAATGTATCTGCAGAAGTAATTGACATCACCTGAAATTAAATCTGAAATAAAAGTTAAAGTAATTAAACTATAAATGAGCTAACTACTAACATTCTACCAAGCTCTACTAGAACTTGCAAAGTTTTTGTAAAATATGACTTTATATTAAAATGATGAAACTAGAATATTGACTTTTTAATATAGAAAAGAAAATTGTTGTGATTTCTAGTGTTTATATTGTTATATTGTTACTATTGCTATTTATATTACTATTTGTGTTATATATATATATATATATATATATATATATATATATATATATATATATATATATATATATATATATATATATATATATATATATATATAATTTAAACTTTTATATCTTTAGATTAGTCTATTATTGTTAAATAAAGCCTTTATCAAAAGGTCTTTATTTTATGAGTTCAATACTTATACACATATGTATTGTGATGAACTCATTCTATTCACACTCATTGTTTGTTCTGACAAACACCAAGTCATTATAAGATCCAAAGTCAGGAATATATTTTTTACCACATTTTTGTGAAATTAGGAATGTTTAATGTTATTGTTCTACAAAATATTGGGAATTTTTAATGATATTGTCTTATTACTTCAAAATAACAATAATAATAATAATAAAAAAAGATCATTGTATTTTGGGAATTTTAAATCCAATGGGAATTCTGCTATATACTCGGTGCCATTGGACTGGCTAACACCATGACCTTTTCCTTCTCTTACCCATTCCATTCTCTTAAGAATTTTTATTTTTGGAGTCAAGTCTTATATGGTTCATCCAAACTCTCGGTAGAAAAAAAAGTGCATTTATTAATTAATTTAACATAACAAATAAGGTATCATCATCAAAAACTAGCATTCATTACCACTGCATTTGTAAAATAATGTTATTACTTTTAAAATTATTTAAAAATTAATTATAATTGATAAAAAATGAGGTACATTTTTCATAATTCCACTGCGCCATTTTGTTGATTTGAATGCAGTTAATTATTAGTTGCTTTTTGACAATACAAATGATGCAAATGATTGGTTACTACAAATTGTTTAATCCATTGACTTTTGTAGCACAAACCACTTAGAGCTGATAGAAGTTTTTAATAATAAAATTTTATTCAATAACCAAATCAATAATAAGAATAGTAAATACTTTTGTATTTCTTAAATGTTACATAACTTGTTGCAATTATTAATATTTTAATTCTAAGTAAAAGTATTATTTATTAAATAACAGTTTAATTTTACAGCTCCAGTTAAGAGCTGCAATATTTTACAGCTCCAGCCAAGAGCTGCAATATTTTACAGCTCCAGCCAAGAGCTGCAATATTTTACAGCTCCAGCCAAGAGCTGCAATATTTTACAGCTCCAGGTCCAGCTTGGCCTGTATAATAACACCGTAGAAAATTTGTTTGAGATGATTTTTATCACTTTCATTAATTTTAAGATTGGCTTGACTATTTATAATAAAATTGACAACAATATTGTTTCTTGTAGTGAAATATTGTGTATAAACACATGACACCATAAGACACTAAAACTTTTTATTAGAAATAGTTTACTTATTTTTGACAGAAGACTTGAAAAGTTAGTGGTTCTGTGAGTCAGGAAGATGGGAGAGAGTTCCAAAGGGTTGAGATGCGGGGAAAAAACTAGACGAATAAAAGTTTTTAGAGCACGCAGGAACAGATGCAGTAAATGAATGAGACTAAGCTGAATGACAAGTCAAACAAGAATGAGTTTTAATCAATGGAACTAGAGATGATAACTCCTTTGAGCAGCGACCATGATAATATTTGCAGGGCTCAAAATAACAAGCTTTTTCGTTCAAGACAGTTTTTCCGAGAAAAACTTTGATTTGTTGGACATGACAGATAAAAACTAAAAGATTAACTTTCTTGTTTCATTTCAAAATAATTCTTTACGATTTATTATTTAAAACCAATATGCATGAATAAAGCTAGTCGGAATTATTAAGTTGAATATTTGAGAGTTTTTTAGGAATAAAAAAGCCTTTTTAAAAAAATGTTTTATTAAAGTAATAATGAATAGTCATGTTCATTATCTTTTTTCTGATTTGTTTACTTAAGAGATTTGCTATGAATGTTTACATAAGAGATTTGATATGAATGTTTACTTAAGAGATTTGATATGAATGTTTACTTGAGAGATTTGATATGAATGTTTACTTAAGAGATTTGCTATGAATGTTTACTTAAGAGATTTGATATGAATGTTTACTTAAGAGATTTGATATGAATGTTTACTTAAGAGATTTGCTATGAATGTTTACTTAAGAGATTTGGTATGAATGTTTACTTGAGAGATTTGCTATGAATGTTTACTTAAGAGAACTGTTTGATTTGTATACTTAAGAGATTTGATATGAATGTTTACTTAAGAGATTTGATATGAATGTTTACTTGAGAGATTTGATATGAATGTTTACTTAAGAGATTTGGTATGAACAATTTCTGTTGAATGCTATTTAATATTTAAACAGATATTTCTTGATTTTAGTGTTAATACTTTCAGTATTTTTCAATTGCAGATTTTAATACTTTCAGTATTAACATCTGCATTGAGGTTGTGAATTTTGAATTGATTGGTACTTTTATTTTTGTCATTAGCACCGAGGTATTAACTAATAACAATGGATACGTTTTTAAGTATAATTTTACTTTGTAAACAATATATGAGAAAAAACTGAAGAAAAGACATATGCATACCTGGCAATTGTATAACTTCCTTAGTTGATCATGCATCCATTCTTCTAATTCTAAACGCATACTTAGAGTTTTTCTATTATATTTAGCTGTAGCAGCATACTTTTTAGAAAAACTAGGACTTTCATTTACTCCATTAAATCTAAGAATACCCCCTTGTTGGTCATCCTTTTCCATATTTTTATTTTTTAAACCTTAATATAACAAAATAAAAAATAAACATTTTATGTTTTAGGAAACACATTTTTTGAAATGTAAACAACCAACCATAACTTTGGAATTACATCAATTACATCAACAAAATTACATCAACCTTAGCCAACACGATTTATACAAATTTAACATTTTTAAGGGTTGATATATATATATATATATATATATATATATATATATATATATATATATATGCATATATATATATATATATATATATATATGCATATATATATATATATATATATATATATGCATATATATATATATGCATATATATATATATATATATATATATATATATGTATATATATATATATATATATATATATATATATATATATGTATATATATATATATATATATATATATACATATATATATACAACTGTAAATGCAAGTTTAGATTAGCACTGTGACATCATACTAAAATAGCCTACTGCCAGAGGCTTCAGAAAATATATTGACTATATTATGTATGTATAAATATATATATATATATATATATATATATATATATATATATATATATATATATATATATATATATATATCAGTCTTCTTCGTTTAGCCAGCGCTTTTGCGCTCAAGTCTTTTCGTGCTCGCCCACATGCCCGCAAATACTTTGGCAAACACATAAAAAAGTGCTTGGCAAAAAAATAAAAGTGTTTTAATTTAAATTGCAACAAAAAACTTTTTTGTTTATTTGTCAGGGGCTATTCTAGACCGTTTTCGAGAATGTAGACCCAAATTAAAATTTGAGGACATTTTTTTACGATTTTTTTAATGTTTTTACGGCAAGTTTTTTTTTTTTTTTGCGAAAAAAAATGCGGATTTTTCGCTAAAGTTTGCCGAAACAAGTGGGTACCGCCTATATATATATATATATACATATATATATATATATATATATATATATATATATATATATATATATATATATATATATACATATATATCTTTTTGTCATACTCTTCTTGTCAAATCAGAGAAACAGAATAATCAATTCTTAGATATCCTCATAGCTCTGGCTTCAATTGCTAAAGTTATTTTCCACTTATATTTTTCTGCAGCTTGAAGTACCAACAACAATTGTTACAGTATTACAAAAGTGTTTTTTCAGAATTTTTTCTACTTTTTTACTCTTTAACTATTTAACAAGTGCTTGACTGAATCTTTTTATCATGCTGCTAGAAAATAGCATCTGTGGTTACTACTTTAAAAAACTCTAGAGATTACTCTGACCCTTATATTGTCTGATTAGTCTTCTTACGATTAGTACCAAAGTACTCTTTGAACTTAAAAGCACCAAATGACTCTTTGAACTAAAAAATTTCTAATATCTTATCATGAGCCCAACAACTTATTCTCTGACAATTAATACAGATCTTCTCATACTACTGCTGGGTTGTTAAACATTAAAGATTTTATAGTGTATTAGATAGAGGCGGGGAGGTAAAAGCTATTGCTCTTGACATATCAAAATATTTCAATTAAGCCTGGCATGCTTGTCATCTTCATAAGCTTTATTCATATGTATATTTGGCAAAATTTTGAAAATTTTAGAACCATTTTTTTTTCCAACTGCAGTATTAAAGTTGTCCTAAATGAAAACTCTTTTTAATTTCTAGTAACTTTTGAGGTACCATAATACTCCATCTTTGGTCCTGTATTGTTTTTTATTTATATTATACAGTAGGGCATTTCCATTTCTGAGCGTGATTTTTTATTTTTCTTTGTTTTAGTAATTAAAAGCTGGGACATAAAGCAATAAATAAAGCTTTGTGCTTGATCATTCATGAACTGCATTTAAACAATTGCTGTGACTCTATGGTACATAGTACAAGCCTGTAACTTTCTGGAAAACTTTACTAATGTTTAAAACATTATTTAAAAATATATATATATACATAGCACTGAAACTAATATTTTCTGAGGAATTAAAATTTATTTATCTAATAACTAAAACTTGTATTTTCTGAGGAATTAAAATTTATTTATCTAATAACTAAAATTTGTTTTTTCTGTTCTGTCCATAATTCCGCTTCAAAATTAATTTATTCTTTGTTAACATTACTAATGTACATCATTTTTTGTTTAATTTATATAGGTTAGAATTAAATGAGCACTCGCTTTGAATGCAAGAAGTTCTGAGTTAAATCTCCATCGCGTTTTTAGTAGCACTGTGTTCAAATTGTTTTACAAGTGAATCTTGTTTGTCAAAGATTGTGTTTCAGAGTGAAGGGGTTGAACAAAAATAATGATTTTTCATATAATCTTACCTCTAAAGTTACTCTTTTTGCTGATAGTACTATATAGTTCAGTCTTGACAAAAAGTCATCACTTTTTGATTGCTTAGAACAGGCAATCTTGAAAATGATTGATTTTTTATGTCAGCTTAGGGCTCTCAGTGGCTAATGAATTTCAATTTGAGTTAAAATTCACTTGAGACATCTCTTAATACAGCATCTCAATTTTCCCTAATACTTGTTTTCATTTGCTGTTATATCTGGATAAAAACGCTCACCATCTTTAATGCTAATTGCACCACAGTTATCAAGAAAGTTTAAATGACAGTGCAGAGAGTGAATCATCAATGACATGTTGCTAATTTCTGGTAGATTAAGAAAAGTCTCATCACAATGTTATTCATAGCTTCTGCTTTCTTGTTCTCTTGTTAAATTTCTCTTTGAGGTACTTGGATTCTGACCATCTTGGTTTATTGCCACAAAATTCATTGTAAGTAACTTTATATGTAATGGTAGTAACAAAAACTTGTTGAGGTTTTTTTTCTTTTAGATTCAGAGACTTCTTGAATGTTCATACTTTTGTTTTATAGTGGTTAGATCATTCTTAAATATCCCACTCACAAAGAGAGTAGCAAAACTTAGAGTATTCCAGTATCATTCCCAACAAGATAGATATTACTTTTAGACCCCACAGATCAGTCTATCATAGTAATGATAGTTAATAAGTCAGAGAGTCAAGAAATAGCTGCATATCCCACCTTATTCCCATTATGTAATAACACTGCTTTTAAAACTAGCTTCGGAGCGCCAATAAAGGCTCTCTACTTTTCAGGTTTGTACTCAATATTTAGTGAATTCATTCGTCCATTGATATCATGACAGAATACAAAATCATTTTTTATATAGAAGAACTGAGTTGAGCAATTGTGACAGTCACCATGTACATATTTTTTATATTCTCTTGCAGCAGATTTCACAGCTGTAGCTAAATCCGGGGCTTTGATCCATTCACTTAACTTATTCAATGTAATCCTGTATCAGTACTATTTACATGAAATTCAAGATCTTGTGATGTTGAGAGTTCAGGTGATTTAGCTCTAGCATGATTCTTCATCATCAGTTGTCAGAGAGTTCTCTGATGGTAAATCAGGAATAAGGAATTTTTTTTCATTAGGTACTGGGCAAAATGATATATTGGGATAGTTGACATTCTTTTTTACTGGATACTTTGTACTGTAGAGTGCCATACAATAACATTAGCCTATGACATGATTGGTTGGCTATTAAATCAATACAATTTCCACTTGATTCTGCAATATGTATAGGTTCCGTAGAAACTATCCTTGTTCAAAATTTTGTTTATAATTTGGATCAATGAAACTTCAAGTTCTTTTTGGATAAACTTTTCTAGTTAATATACCATCTTCTCAGTTTTTATAGATTTATTTATGTATATTTCAATACCTCTGCCATAATTGCTTCTGCTATGCTGACATGAATTATATCCAGTTATATTAGGACTTTTATTTGTTGTTATTTTTACTAATTTTGTTTCTGTGAATGTTACAATGTTGTGACTTGTCACAAATTTACTAGCTTTATCTATATCTTGATCTAAATCCATTTATATTCTTAATTGCTTTTCAGGTTTGGTTATTTTAGTCCATTTTGTTTTTGTTTATTTCTATTTTATTTTTGTTTATCTTTGAGGATTTTGTTTCTGTTTTTGTGACTTTAGCTATTTGTATTCCTTAACTTTTTACTGAGGGATGATTTCGTATTTAGCTAGCTTGGCAGTTTTGTGTTTTCAATTTTTACTCATTTTATCACAAACGCTGTACTAAAAAATGCAAGCACTAAATTACAATGAAACTCGTGATTGTTATTAACTTTATATCATGCTTATCTCTGATCTTTTATTCACTGGTCTATTCTGGTTAATCATGTGAAAATCATGTGAAACTTAACTTTAAAAAGTCATCTATATTGCTGATATCTACCAAAAAGATTGAAATTATTGCATTATTTAATAAATAAATAAATTCAAACATAATAAAACAGCTTTAAGAAAAACATCAAATTTAACATTAAAACTTGAAACCTAATTAAATTCTACAAGTCAAAAATAAACTATTTCTTTTTTTTTTTTTTGAAAAAAAAAAAAACTTTTTTAAGCTTTTTAAAAATTAGTTCAAAATTAAAACAAATGCGAATTTCGATGTCATTAATTTTTCAAAACTTAAATTAGCCTATAGCTCAAACGAAGTGAAATTGGATACAAATTTTTAAAATGCTAATTTTGCTTTAAAAATACAAAAAAAAAATAAAAATACAAAATAAATGTAAAATGATAATAGAATAACAGAAATATTTTAAAATATATAGGTTTGTAGAATAAAATCTAAAATATTGATTTTTTAATAACATATTTTGATTCCATATAACATTTTGCTAAGATAAATTAAAAAGCCCCCATTATGTATCTTGTGAAAACAACTCTTTATAATAAAAACGATTTTGCCGGTGACGGAATAATTTTTAATAACTACCACATAAATATAAAGTTTTACAAAAATCAAAATTTATTATTACTTTTTTTTAACAAGTTCAATCCCAACAAGAATACAAACAACCACTATTTAAATTGGGAGTTATAAAAACAAAAACAGAAAACGAGTTAAAGAAAACGATTAGAGATTTTTAAATAAACGATTCCATATTTTTAATCTGTAAATTGTATGAGTCAGAAAAGCATCAAAATGGAAGATAGTTCCAAAGCATAGTTTGAGAAGAAAAAAAAACTGATATAAAAGAATAAAACTTTTTTGAGCATGAATAAACAAAAAGAAAATGAATATATTAGTATAAATAAAATTTTTTATATAAAGTATAAATAAAAATTTTAAGCATGATGTAATTAATTTTTTTTTTACATTTTTAAATATAAATATAATTTCTAATTAATTGCATAACTTTCGTAATCAATATTAAATAAGCCCTAATAATATAATCTAACAAAAAAAATTACATAAAATACAAAATTGTGAAACACTATGAGTATTTTAAGAGGAAATTAAAAGTAATAATGAAAATCATTTTTTTTTCACAAAAAGGTGTATTGTGAATATTTAAGCATTCAAACGTCCAAGCGTTTTAGTTGTGCTGTATTTATTGCTCTGTCTGGCTTAGTATTCATACTGCTGTACAACAGCACCAGTAAGCTATCTTTTTTATAACACTTTTACAGCCTTTTTTTTTGATTAGTGAATTTGGGACTTTTTTTTTTAAATTTTAGATGCTCCAAGAAGTCCTTACGGTCTTATCACAGAACACCGCGAATGAGCCTATAAAACCGATGTCACTAAACTTGCCCAGAGGTGGAGTTTGAACCACCGACACCTAGTTTCTGTGGCAAGTTCGTAACCGCTATCACACGGCTGCACTTATTCCGTTAGAGCCGGTAACATTAATTTAACATTTTGATCATAAAAAAATTTGTAAACCCACTCCACGGAATGTTCCTTTAAGTCTCTAGTATGTGTATTCAGGTCCGGTTTAACCGTTAGACAAAGTAGGTACTTGTCTTTGACAGAAATTTTTTTATTATGGCACTAAAAGTTAACTACATAAATAAAAAAGTTTTGATTATGGGCTGCACGCGATTTTTTTTCATTTATGTAGTTAGCTTTTAGTACCATCATAAAAAATTCTCTGTCAAAGACAAGTATCTAGTTAGTCTAACGGTTAAACCGAGCCTGAATACACATACTAGAGACTTAAAGGAACATTCCGTGGATTGGGTTTTGCAAACTTTTTTATGATCAAAATGTTAAATTAATGTTCCCGGCAATCTCACTTTCGATAGAACTTATAAACAATCGGGCTTGATTCACTTTGATTTTTAAATATGGCCTGTAAAAATATTACAAAGTTTAAGTTGATTAAAAAAATCAACTTAATCTTAAAAATATTTTTATTATCACAGGCCATAGTAGTTGGCACAGTATCTATAGTTTGAAAAACCACCCAGTGATTTAGATCCAACAGCCTGTTATTTTAAAAATATGTTAACGGTGAAAACTTTATAGAAGTTCAGTTAAAAAAATTTAGAAAAATACGCTTTCTCATCTTCATGATTCAGAATATCAAAATGCCTTTCAAATGCCTGCACATTTTTGTAAATTAAGGCAATTTTTTTAAAGTCCTGACTATTTGAAAAAAATATGGATAAATTATATATGTAAAACCCTGATATTGGTACATAATCAATTATTTGATAAAGTTTTTCTTGTGCAGATCAACCTTTACATCTTTCTATTAACTGAGTAGCAACGATGGTAGTATTTGTAGAAAAGAGAGAAAAATGCAATTTTACGGCAATGGGGAATAGACTTTTGATAATAATAAGCGATAGGGAATAGGAATTTGGCATTTATAGGTCAAACGACATTTACAGTTCATTTTTAGGTCTTGTTCAAAATCAAAAAAGAGTTAGAACTAGAAAAATCAGTTTAAATATTACAGCTATATTTCATACAAGAACCAGTAAAAAAATTTATAGAAGTAGAGAATTAAATAAGGAGAACAATAATAGCGAGCCATGGCGACGGATAGGGTAAGTCGAGGGGGCCATTGCCCGACATTTTTTTTTTTTAATTAATTTATTTATCCATAAAATATGAAAATTTACAATAATATTTTATAAACTTACACATATAAGGTTTGGTGTCACTCATATAGTTAAAAACTAGTAAATGGAGTGAAACCTAAAAAAATAATAATATTAATAATAACAATAAAACATAGAAAGAATTTAAAATGTAATAAAGAAGAAAAAAAATAAATAAATAAAATAAAGCACTAATAAATAAAGATAATATTAATAATTGTAATGATAATATATTAAAAATAATAATATTAATAATAATGTGAACTAAAAAACATTACAAATAGTAACTATAACATGATAACTTTACTAAAAATTATAACTCATATAAAAACTATGATAAAAATAATTATAGTAAAGTTTATATCTATGACAAAAATTATTAAAATAAACGTAACATGAGCAAAAATTAGGACAATAACCATAAAACTATTACTACAATTGAATCACTATCACTATCATTATAAATAATATTAATAAAATTTATAAAAAAAAGATAAGTTAATGATAATAGTAATATTAGTAATAGAGTTAAAAAAGACAGTATAAAATAAAAGTAATAATATTTTTATAAATACAGTAATATAAAAATGCAATAATAATAAAAGGTAAAATTAATATTCATTAAATATATACACTAATAAAAACTTCTTAATTTGGTTTCGATTAAGAAGAATGTTGGTAATAAAAGGGTATTTAGTAAAAATCTTTTTTTTTATAAATGATATTATTTGGTTCCAGTGAGAAATACCTTGATCTTTTATAGAGAGCTTGCCATATTTGATAGTGCTGAAAAAGAGAGTGTGCAAGTTAAAATTTTCAGTATTTTGTAATATTTTTAATATTTGTATGTTTCACTTGTTTTAATAAAAAAATTGTTGAACGAAATTGGTAGTTTATTTTGAAGAAAACCTAACACAACGAGACAATTATAAAGCTTTACAAGATCTTGAAATTTTAGAATTTTTAATTTAGAAAACCTGTTTTGGATATTAGATCGTAAAGGAGAAAATGTCATAAATCTTATGGAAGTGCGTTGTAAACTGTTTATATGATGTAATAGAAAACTACCTTTTTGACCCCAAACAGTGCAATAAAAACTTAGATGTGAGGAGAACAAGCAATAGCAAATTGATATTAGAATATGTTGGGGAATATAGTTTCGTATTAATGACAACATACTATTGGCACGTGAGAGTTTTTTTACTTAATTGAACTAGTTGACAGTACTATGATAGGAGTATATTTTTGTCAAGGAATAGGTATTTTATATACTTAGATGGGAAAAGTCTTTTACCGTTAATTCTAATTTTTACCGTTAATTCTAATTTTCACATTATCACTATCAATCTTTTATTTGGAAGGTGAAAAATAATAAATTCAGTTTTATTAATATTTAGAGAAAGATGGTTGCTATTTAGCCAATGATATAAATGATGTTAAATACTTATGGAATTCAGTATTGGATGAATGAATATTTTTTGCAGTTTTTCAGGGATTGAAATAAAAAGGAAGTTGAAAATTTACGAGATTTTAATTGGATCGTTTATAATGGTATTGTTTGAAGATATACAAGATGGATATGAGCTATCATCCGAACGCAGGGCCGTGGAGAGCTGGTACCGGGCCTGGGGTAATATCAAACTGACGGGCCCCCTCAGGGCTTAGGGCTTCAGACATATGAATAATACTACTTTTGATACAAATAATTTTTTAATTTAACTATATACAGTATTTTATTTACAAGTATATTTTAAATACAATACAGTGAAAAATTATATATAATATAACTACAACAAAATTAAAATATATAAAACTTGTAAGTTAGATTAAAACTTTCCTCGCTTTCCTACTGGCAAATCAGCAATTACACTGTCAAAATTGATCTTTTTTGCTAAATCACACTCCATCGCTAAAATTCCCAAGCCAGAAACTCTACCTTGCGTCATTGTTGATCTTAGATCATGTTTTATAAGCGCCAGTCTGCTAAAAGACCGTTCAGCTTGTGCTACCGTAACTGGTAATGTACAAAAAATTCTCAGGCCAATACAAATGTTGGGGAAAAGACATATAAGTTTCAGGTCGTTGATTTTATTGAGAAGAAGAAAGGGGTCCAAATCATTTTTGCTGTTAACATCATGGATAAATTTCAAATGCAAAAGCTCATCAATCAGCTCCATGGAAACATCATCCTTGTATTTATTCACAAAATCCTTACTCCTTCGGCGAATTTCTTCCTCCTCGTAATGATTATGCTTCCAGAGAAAGTTAAAGGTTTCGTCAATTTCATATGCAGCTTCATATCGTCTACTGATATTCCCTATAATGCAGTCCAATAATATATAAAAAACGTTTTGTTTAAAATTATTTTCAGAATTTGATAGAGAAATTTCATCAGGTGTCTCATCAGCAAATCGCTTCCTAATTTTTCGTCTAGGTTCTGGAAGTTCTTGAGAAATGTTTAAGGTGTTTGCAACTAAATTACTCTCCACCATAATAGAATCCCATTTATCTCGAAGAGTTTTTAATTCATCAATTAGTCGTTTGATGTTGGTCACTTCTACAAGATTGGTGTAATTGATAGCAGTAAGTACTTTGAACCATATAGCAGACATCAGAATGCATTCAAACGATTCCATATATGAAATAATCCCATTTAGATTAGCACGATTTTCTATAGACAAATTTAGGTTCCTTATATCAGCTACTGATTTGATTATACCAGGAAGGTGGGTTGCGAATGGCTTAATGGAGTCCACTCTAGCTGACCAGCGCGTTTGGGACATGCTATGAAAAGACGAACCAATATATTTTTTTAAAATTTCCCATCTTTGAGGACTGCTACTAAATATGTTATACAGTTTTTGCACTATCCCAAAGAAAGTTATCACTTGAGGACAACATTCAGCAGCTTGTGCACCGCATAAATTCAGACTATGACAAGCACAGGGAGAGTAAGTAGCAAGTGGATAATGTTGAAGAACTCGAGCTTGTGCTCCCTTGACTGAACCTTTCATATTACTCCCATTGTCGTATCCTTGTCCACGACAGCACATCAGTGGTATTTTATGTTTCTGAAGAGTAGAAGTAATTATATTTGCAATATCTTCACCAGTTTTTTTATTGCAATCTACAAATTCCAGAAATCTCTCTTTTACCTCATATTTTCCTGTCAATTTGTCCTGTAAGTCGTATCTTAAAATAAAAACATTTTGCTCAATATGAGCTGTATCAGGCGTTGCGTCCACAATCATTGAAAAATATTTGCATTTCTCCCTCTCATCTAATATCACATCTGTGACTTTATCTGCACAGCACTGAATAAACTCATTCTGGATATCATTTGACAAATAATGTGCTTGCATTCGCATATGGCTCTGTTGAGAAGCTTTTACTTTTTCGAGATGATCATTTAGAATGAAATCGTAATGACCAATGAGTTCCATAATTCCCAAAAAATTCCCATTTTTGGGGTCACCAATTAGATGACTATCGCCTCTAAATGCAAGACCTCTTTCATCCAAAAACAAGATAACATCTAATACTCTACTAAGTATTTGGGTCTATCTTTCCACTTCTGTCTTTATATTATCATTTAGTAGAAAATTGATAGTTGTATTATCTCTGAGATTTTCTTCTAATCGTCTCCATTCTACATAACACATCTTATGCCCACTGCTGGATTGATGTTGAGGAATTTTTTCATAAAGTTTCTTCCATTTATTGTCCTTGGGCTTGGAATATCCTGTTGGCAGAGATAATGCCGATCGATGGGTTTCTGGCATTTTAGAGAAAAGTCGGCAGGGAAAACAGTAAAGTGCATTCTTCGTCTCACTCCACGTTAGCCAATCTCGTGGAATTTTTTCGCCATTTGGCATGGCAATGTGAAATAACGTGCGCGGAAATGATTTAGGCAATGCATCTTTTGGAAATTTTGTTGGGTGAGCAATGGGTCCATGATGAACAAATTTTTCTATTTGTTCAGTAGTGCAAAATAATTCCTTAATTAAACCAATATCATAGTTATTTGATGGAACTAGTTGGACATCATCTGCCTTGTCTTGTAATTCTTCTAGCCTTGCAGTTGATGTCTTTGGAAGAATATTTTCATTTTCGCCTATTACATTCTCTTTCACATCAGCACTCATAACTTTCCTATTTAACAATTCATCTTCCTCAATTGGCACTGGCTCTACTTCAACATTTTATCTAACTGATGAAGTGATGCAGACACAATGTTGCTTGATGGGGATTGGCTGATTACCTGGAGACTGGGACCTGATAGACTAAGAGACCGATGGTGATGGGCCCGGGGAAAATACCCCCTCTGGCCCCCCCTCTCGTCGGGCCTGTCCGAACGTATATTTCAAAAGAGTTTTAATACCTTTTCACGTAGCTCTCAAACTATTGCTATTGGTAGTAAAGTTAGAAAAGTGGTTCTTTTTGCTTCGTGGAATAAGTGTTACAAGTAAATTTCTATAGGTTTTGTAAGTTTTTTTTAAGAATTAGTTTGTCATTAAGATTTTTTGTTTTTGCTGAGTAGAAAATTGAATGTTAGTATATAGATGGAAAAACTATTACCAACTTTTGTTTAAATAATCAAAAATAAATTGACTCAATTTATTAGTTTTAGTGGTAACTAAGCAGTAAAATAATTATTTCATACTTTGTACCATTAAAAATAACATTAATCAAAAAAACGTATGGTTTAGTTATATTTCTTGACGATAGATAGCTTGTTGAAAGATCTTTTGCCAGAGGCTCGAACGAGCATTTATTCTAATTAAAACACACTTGCATAAATTTCATTTCAAATAGGGATAGAAAATTTTTTGAAATCCTGTAAACACTGGTTTTTTATAAACTATTTGGTAGTAAAACATCAGGTTACTCTGTTGGCATAAGAAATCAAACAGCGATAAAAATTCCCTGTTTACGCATTTTCAGACAACAAATAAATTTACTTAAAAAAATTAGGGGAGAGCGGGGTTGGTTGTCACGCGGGTTGGTTGTCACAAAGTTTATTACAGGAAACGTAAATAAGATATAGAAATTTCAAATTATACAATGGAAATGTTATATAAAAAAAACATTTTTACAGTAATTTTTATCTTTTTTTAGCGTGCAGAAGAAAAGTTATTCGTTTTTATAGGTTTTTGATATGAAAAAGTAAAATTTCGCCTACTCAGAAATTTTCTTTTACCAAACGAAAATTATTTTATTGTGTTTTGAATGTAGATTTATAAAGTACTTTATTCATTTGAGTAACTTAATCCGTAAAAAATTATCATGAAATTCTCACGCTTTTAGGTAAATGTACAGGTGTCCAGCAACTTACTCAGAAGGGGTTGCTTGTCACAAAATATATGGGGTTGGTTGTCACACTTGCCTCGACTCCATGCGCTCCAAATTAAACGCCGCTTGCTGGCTTTGTTTATTTTCCGCATTATTGAGGAATATTCTAATGTTTAAGATATTATTTAAAAATCTAAAGTCAAAGTGTTATATTTGTTTAACTAAATATCTGTAATCTAAATTATTTTTATTTCAACGTGCATAACTTTAGATTCCGATCCAATGTTTATTATAATTATAGAAAAAGGATTGCAGAAGTTCAACTGTTTATTGTTTTGTTTACAAACTAAACAACTAGCTGTTGTTTAGTTTGTAAAACTGTCTGTTGTTTTGTTTGTGCATTGTTTATATTTAGTGGGTTTATATATATATATATATATATATATATATATATATATATATATATATATATATATATATATATATATATATATATATATATATATATATATATATATATATATATATATATTAATGTTTTGTTTACATTATTTGCAAATATTTTTATTTGCTTAGTAATAAACATGGTACGAAATTTTAAAAGAAAAGCTAATAGAGGTTATACTTCTGGAGATGTCATAATGTGTGCTGTTAAAGATGTAAAGATTAATAACATTTCTATTAGATCAGCAGCAAAAAACCATGGCATTAGTTACAGAACATTAGCACGTTATTGTAAAAAAATTATTATTACTAACCCATCACATGGTTCTATAGCAGATCTAATTGACAAAATTGAAAACCCCACCTTCCTGAATGTTAGATGATACAAAAGTTGATTGATATTGCCAGAAAAAGTAGAAAAAGAACTGGTCACCTACCTGTTGCGAGCAGCAGATATATATTTTGGTTTAACTCCTACCGAAGTAAAAAAGCTTGCTTTCCAGCTAGCAATTAAAAATAATATGAAGGTTCCCGATTCTTGGGTTGTAAAGGAACAAGCTGGTAAGGATTGGTTTACAGGATTTATAAAGCGCCATTCAAATATTTCCATTAGGCAACCTGAAGCTACTAGTTAAAGTCGAGCGACAAGTTTCAATAAGCAGAATGTTGCATCATTTTTTAGCAATTTGCAGCACTGTATGCAAAAATACTCGTTCTCACCAAATAACATTTGGAACATGGACGAAACTGCTGTAACTACTGTACAGCAACCTAAAAAGGTTATTGCGAAAAAAGGATTAAAACAAGTAGGAGCCATCACGTCAGCTGAAAGAGGAACTCTTGTAACATTAGCATGCACAATAAATGCTATTGGAAATAGTATTCCACCCTTTTTTTATTTTTCCTTGTAAAAACTTTAAAGATCGTTTCCTAATCAGTGCACCAACAGGAAGTGCAGGAGATGCAAATCCAAGTGGTTAGATGAAAGAAGAAAACTTTGTAAAATATCTAAAACATTTTGTAGGCAATACAAAATGTACTAAAGAAAAGCCTTGTTTATTGTTGCTTGACAATCACGAAACTCATCTTAGTATTGAAGGATTAGATTTGGCAAAAAATAATGGAATAGTAATGCTTACCTTCCCACCACATTGCACACATAAGTTGCAGCCCTTGGATAAGGCAGTTTATGGTCCTCTCAAAAACTACATAAATAATGCTATGACATCATGGTTAGTAATGAATCTTGGAAAAACTGTTACAATATATGATATTCCAAAAATAGTAAACATTGCATTTCCTAAGGCTGTATCTCCCCACAATATTTTAAGTGGTTTTTCTGCAACAGGTATTTACCCGTTAAATCCTGATGTGTTTACTGAAAATGATTACTGTCCTAACTATGTAACTGATCGCCCTAACCCACCTTGTTCACAGGCTGATTCAAATAAAAAAGACTGTGAAAGATTCACAGTCTTTTCAATTTTCATTCAATGCAACGAGAACCATCAAATAAAAGATTTAAAAAATCTATTCAGAAACCAGATAATCAGGTAGACATAACAATAGAAGATCCAGTTGTATCAAATAAAACCTCTAATCAGAACCCAATCACAACATTAGGTTTTAACAATTCAATCATACCACCTGAGAGTATTAGGCCTCTGCCTAAAGCAGGCCCGAGGTTAGCATCAAAAAGAGGTAGGAAAAAGCGGTCAACTATGATTCTTACTAACACGCCTGTCAAAGCATGGCTTGCTAATTATAAAAAGAAGAAAACTAATAAAAAAATTACTAATAAAAAAAAATTACTAATGGAAAAAAAAAAGAATTAATAAAATCAAATCTTGCTACGAAAAAACCTTCTATAGTCTTAAATTCATCTGAAGATAAAGAGTATCTGTGCATCTATTGTTTTGAATCATTTTCCAACAGCCGATCAAGAGAACAGTGGATTCAATGTCAGGTTTGAAGAATGCACACCAGGCTTACAACAGTTTATTTGTGAATTGTGTTCTTTATCCAATAATTTTTAAAAAACCAAACCTAAAAACATTTATAGTGATAAACTAAATTTGTTAATTGTGTTATATTTAAAATATATATATTTCACTTTATAGTATTTTATTTTTATTTTTTTTTAGTAAAACATAAACGAAATTAATTTGTACTCGTTTTACATTAAATTCTTATCTAAACTTGTCAAAATCCAAATGTGACAATCAACCCCGCACCATGTGACAACCTACCCCGTGAGCGGGGCTAGTTGTCACACAGAAGTGGTCTTCTAAAAATGATTTTACAGCAATAAATATTTCACTCAATGTCATAAAAATATTATAATAGTTACTGGAAATAGTTAAACTAGCTTTGTGCAAAGTTTGGCATTAATTGGATGAAAATTAAAAGCTGAGCAGCCTAAAATGTAAAAAGTGTGACAACCAACCCCGCTCTCCCCTACGTTTTTTCGAAAGATTTTTTTTATCGCAAAAATCTTTGAATTGTAGCATTGGCTCCTAAAGTATTGCGAATATTTCGAGAGAAAAATCTGCGCTTCACGTGAAAAAACGTCTTGATTACAAAAAACGATTAAATACAGGAATAATTTTAACAGCAGTTTTAATAAGTAAAATTTTAAATAAATTTTATATAAGTTAGTTTTTAAAATAGGCAAATTCTATACTTTTTTCTGTATTTGTTTCTTTTT